CATTTTCTGAGTTATTTAATTTGTAACTGGCTGACTAAGATGGTTCTATTGTAGTTTGTTGTGATACAAAACATTTTTTCTTCTTATTTTGGGAGTTATGACAGCTTGTTGTAAGACCATCTTTTATGAGATTCTCTCTTCTCTTAGGTTATGACAGCTTGTCTTAAATTAGAATAACGTTTTGCCTAGTTGTAGTCAAAAGTAAGGGAGGGTTTCTACTAACTACTACATGTAACTATGATACAGATTCAACGACCCTTGTTTTGCAGGTTATCAGCTTTACTCGAACGATCGGTAACTTACATTGTCGCAGACTGGAGTAGATCCTCGGGCACATCAAACTACGACAAAATAAGTATGCGGTAGTTAATCCAAAGAGTTATTAATTTGAGTTTCAAAAGTTATGTCAACTAAAGTCGACGTAATTTAGAATCTATTCCAAATAACCTATGGAATATGGGGTGCGAGCGAGAGATGAGTAAGGCTGCAAACTAACTGAGTTGTTCACGAGCACTTGAGTCAGTGCTCGACTTAAGCTTAAGAGAGATGAGTAAGGTTTGCGAGCATTTGAGTTACTTCTCAAGAGAGATAAGTGAGGTTGCAAGAGTCGAGCTATTCACGAGCACTCCAGTCAATGCTCGACCTGAGATCGAGTTTGATTGAGATGGAGCCTAAAATTTGTACTTTTGAATATGCGTAATATTATCCCATCGCTATATACTTTTTAACTGAAATTTTGAAGTTAAACTCGAGTGAAATTTTAGTTGATTTCGAGTGTTTGTATTTTGTTGTTACGTTCAATCTAGCCTCAAGTTCGAGTAGGTGTCAAAAACATTGAGCATAAGCTGAATCGGCTATTTGCACGCGTGAAGGCTAGACGTGGCCAAATCACGGGCCGGGTCACGGCCTCGTCCGCCCCACCGGGTCGGCGGTTCTCAATTTAATTGCCCGTAATCGGCCCGTCAATTTTTATGGGCTGAACCGCCGGGTCACGACCCGTCGGTATTCGGCCAATTCGGCCCATTTAAAAAAAATATTCACACAACACCGCTGCTCCGCCGCCCGTCTTCCAACCCGCGGCTCGACCCGAACCGTAGGTAAAAAATAAAAATAAAAAATATGGAATCGACCCGCATTGCCACGGTTCGGATTCACAGAATCGCCAAAATCCGGGCCGATTGCAGGTCGATTCGGGCCGCTTCAGTGCCGGGTCGGCCCTTGGCTGAAGGCCAATGCTTTGAAATACAAATTAGAATGGGCCTGCCCCATTTTATATCAGGTACTTTTAATTTGTTTATTTTTTCTCCTTTTCGGCTTCACTTCTTCTTCT